AGATATAGTTCACTTAAATAAAGAATTTTTACTTTTTTCATAGTCATCATATATTGAAATAATGTAATTCGATGTTTGTTGAAGTATCACATTATTATCGCCTTCAAACGTACACGATGGATCATTGTCATTACGAATAACGCCAAACCCACTAGCTAGCATGAAAATAAAAACAGAGTTTTCAAATTTTTAAAAAGTTAACTTTTCTTATTAAGCTACCCTTCAAATATCCGTGACCACCGCAACTTTCTCGACATTCTTGACTGGCTTTCTGAGTATTCCACGTTGTTATTGCTTTACACGAACATGATAATGAGTGAATTTCTCTACCCATATCAGCGAGTAAATTTTGATCTTCTTTTACCATTGATAAAGCATAAAATTCTGCCAAATTATCGAACACAGTCAATGCTAAATGTTTGAATACATATAATGACGCTATAATTGGAATAAGACGCCAATTCTAAATAAGATGTAAATTATGATTATACTTCTAAAAAATGCACAATTTATTTCATACTTGTGTTTGATATTCAATAACAGGTATTTCAACGCCAGGAGATGGCCCAAATTGTTTTCGAACACAAGAATATCTTACAGCAATAGTTATACAATTAGTCAATAATCCAATTGCTAGACTACTAATACCAACTCGTCCAGACGATAAAGCGCCTAAACTTGCACCAAAACGCTTATTTGACGTCTAAATAAATACGATAAACGTTGTAACATATAAAAGATTAGCGAAGATGGAATTATACTTTGAATGGTGTAGAATATGTACCATCAGCTAGCACATCACCATGACGGTTTAAAAGATTTACTCGATCAACAGGATAATTGTGAAAAATTAAAAATCTAAATAAAAAAATGAAATAAACGCCCTAAAGACATTAGCTACATCAACTAAACAGTAATTTTGTTCGTTTAATAATATTGTCACTTAGTAGTTTATAGCAAAGTACAAAAACACTTACCCGTTATCTAAACCATTCCAACCAAGTTTTTCTCCAATATCACCCACTTCCACGCCATCATAGGCTTGATACGTCAACGGATCTCTATATATTATGGATTTTAGAAATAGAAATTGCCATATTAGTTAAACGTTCAAGAGAATAATTACCTAATTGGCACTACAAATGGATGTAGTCCATGACATACACCTTCCGTATATAGCTGTGCAAAAAGGATAGCATGTGTGGCGTGATAACCTAGAATAACACGAAGAAATACAATTTATCATTAAAAAATATGACGCTGTGTGTATTCCTACCTAAATTTCCTACCCAGAATTTCATTGCTTCAATATCTGGAGTATTCAAGATAAACTTCTACAAAAACAAGCAAAATAAGTAAAAATACAGTTATCGTATAAAAACTTACCTCGCTGATCGGATCGTAAGTTGCTGTCGTCCGCATTTCTTTCGTATTTGAACCATGGCTTAATTCTGTTAATGCAAAACAGCCAAATATCTACAAGGCAAAAAAGACTTATCCAAGTAATTAATAATATAACTCCATTTTTCTTTTACTTCTCTATTTGCATCTTCATTAAGTATATGTTCATGTCTTTCTGTTCCGAGTGTTCTAATAGTTTCACGAAATAACGTTACGTGTAACGTATATTTAGCATGGCAAGATGAATCGTACATGGCTAAAACTTGTTCTAATACAATTTTAAACCGTGGATTATCAAACATTTCTTCATCAGTTAATAATTTTGATTTACACAACTCTTGATATCGTAAATAGGTTAAATGTTTGTACTGTTCAAGCGTTAGTGGATTTTGTGGGTGTTTAAATATTGGCTTCGACTTTAAAATTGACCATAGTTTTTCCTCAAATTATGATGCAGGAATCAATTTATATCTGTTTCTGATAGCAACAGGTAGAATACTTACTCGATATTGTCGGCTTGATTCATCCTCAAAAACATCCAGCATACGATGAATGTCAAATGAGGCTCGCTTTCGATACTCAGAAAGCATAATTTAGCTTTTAAAATAAAAAGAATCAGTAATTGTGGGTAATGGAGCTTGCTAAATCAACAATCTGCTGTTATAATTACATTTAATAGGGTAAAACACCTATTTATTGCGATGAATATACCGAAAAGCTTTCATGGGTAATTTTATTTATGTAAAAAAAGGAATTTAAGTAGAAGATTAAACTTTGCATAGTTTACTGCTTTTTAAGTTTGAAACAAATGTATGCGCCACGATTAATTTCGGAGACTTCTCAACGCGCCCATGAAATTGACAGAATTTACTAACGAAGAGGACAGATGTGGGTGAATGTATAGTAGACACTCTAGGCTATGCAGTTACATTAGTTGTTATGGGTTAAATAGAAAAGTTTGTTTACGAAGATCCATCAGAGCTGGGCGAATATGAGTGTATAATCGTACTCATACTCATACTCGAAGCTTCGTACTCACCCATGTCTCGTTTTTTTATAAGAATACCGGCGATTTTCTTATAAAAAAACGAGGCATGGACAGTTACTCATACCTAGATCGTTAATTAAGTGATATTTCACATACTGTTAGGGGGCAAATGCGGAAAAAATTACATCGGTTATGATTGTAAGAGAAAAAAAGGGAGAAGAGAACTGCGGTGCGGAGGAAAGACGCTACACCAGAGCTATGTCACACGAGCATTAAGTCGATTTTAAATTTGATGCGAAATTTCTTGTCTCAGGTTAAGTACCAGTAATGTTGGTCTTCATTTTCCCGACGTGTGTTTTGTGGAGAAAGGTAAACTAACATTTCGTAAGTGCATCAAATTTGATTATGCGAAAATACTGTCGACATAAACACTGATGAGTATGAATAGAATGCAAAAATTTGTGTTGGGCACATTTATTCTTTTCCTTGTTTGATAGAAGATGATGGACAACAGAAATCTAGACTAATAGAATAAAAAATATAGGCTAGGACTGTTGTATACAGGCGTAATTATTCATAGCATTCCCTAATTCATCGATCGAACTTTCAGTCGTAGAAATTAGACTTAAATCTTTAGTACAAATATCAGTCTACGTTGATTACGTTGATTGCATCGTTTTACGTCTACTTTCTACTTCTTGCGTACTCTGAACTCACATATCAGCAGCATATAAACGAATATAAGATGACTCATCAGTCAGTTCAATAGTTTTCATTTGATAATGAATCCATCAGTTAAATCACTCAACAAAAACATGTCATTTTCTCATAACAAAATAACCTTGCTTAGAATTGCCGGAGACGATTTCAGAATAGACTTTCATCCTTAATATATAAAAACAAGACATTTTTAGCACAACAGCGGTTTTGGATGACATCTGCCTCTTCACAATACCATATGTAAGCTCTTAAATCTGGTTACACTGGAAATCCCGAAGATTCTGAACAGTCAAAAGATCAGAAGTGAAATGGTTATTTATTCTGTAACGAAATACAGAGTAACATCTTGTTCATTCGCTCGTAAAATAAGAAAGTGTACTTAAGCGAAATACCAACAGAACAGTTTGTTTCAACAGTGGCAACATCTCGCAGAATAAAACAATGATTCTTCGTTGATGCATCTTTTTGGTATTTGAATGAATCTATGCAAATCTACGAATGTAATTGAGATTATTCGCATGTTAAGTATTTAAAATTTCGGCACTTGTTTTAAAATACGGACGATCGATGAACATCAGTTCTATCATATCAATAAATTCATTTTTAACAACCGTCAATAGTTCTAGTCCACATTTTTCTCTCATAAGATACGGCCGCAATCTACAGTCAAATCTAATTACATCGTTTTTAGTGTAAAGTTCTTTATGTTGAATTAACGCCATTGTTTGTCCTAGCTGAAACGCAATTAATTTGACAGTGTCAGTTAAAATTTTCTCATTATTTGTTTTAAAATTCAATGTTTCGAATACAAGTGTTCTTAGTATTTCTAATCTTACACATAACTGATTGATTTTTAATGCATTTTTTATGTTATGTCGTTTTTCACTTTTTGAAAGTTGGGATAATATAGCTCTTACTGCTCTTAATATTTTGCTTTCAACATTTCGCTGTACATTTTGTTTAATCATAAGTGGATAATATTGTTTATGGAAGTGATATGTTTGATAAACAGCATTATTCGTTTCATCCGATATGCCTTTTAACACCCATTTGACAGTGCCTTCATCCGAAACAACAGCCAAATTCACATTAGGTTCCCGGTCAAAATAATTCAAATCTTCAAGTTCATATTTCAGTTTAGAACAAAGTTTTTGACAATCGATAAACTTAACAGGTTTCTGATAGTCTTCCAATAGTATTACCACATCCGTATCTAAACTATTTTCGGAGCCGAATACGTGAAATGGAATTTTAGATGCAATAGAAACAGGTTGAAGCGTAGTTATGTTGCCTAGAGCAGTTAATTGTTCATTAAGTTCTTGCCGGAACATCATGTTTTTCTCAAGGAACGTTACAGCCTTTTGATTGTAATCATGGATTCTTTCAATTAAATCTTGCTTTTTTGTGTTAAGTACTAAAAGCAAACTATCATCGATCGGGACTCTATTAGACTCTGATTCAATTTGTTTACACACCATATTCATTTGGTTTGCGTATTTGTCTAATTTACAATGATGATCGAATACAACACGATCACAACGTTCAAGATGTTTATTAACGTTGAATATGCGGTGTCGTCTTATAATTTCAGGAATAAAATCTTCAGTGTTACAATTTAAACAAATTGGATCAACATTATTCTTTGTTAATTCCATTGCCTGATCTACGACGTATTTTAGCGCATCTGCTCCTGATTTTCCATCAGCAACAAAATTTAAAATGATTTCATTATCACAAATTTGTTTTTCATTAACAAATAAAATAGAATTAGAAATATTATTATAGTACTCGTGTTCTTCTCCAATTTTTGGTTTAAATGTATCGTTCGAGATAACAACTGCATTATGATACATTCCAAGATGAAGTACTACGGCATCTTCACAACCGAGACCACCTTTATAATGAATTGAATCAGCAACGAGAAGAATATGTCCAGAATGGATTAATCGGATAAAATCACGATAAATATCCGAACCATATCGATGAGTTACAATGCTTATATATTTAGATGGAGAAATAACAACAACCACACTCATCGCCTTAATAGTTACAAAAAAATCAACAAGAGCAACGACAGTTCGTTGTAAATAATTATCCCCATCGATAATAATATTGATTTTTGAAACATCAATAAGAGAAATGGAATTATCACACCCGGACAAATCCTTCTAAAACATACAAACGATATTCAAAAGTTTTCGCGTAGGAGTTGAGACTCAGCGTCATCGAAAGATTCTAAAGGTCAGCGATGGCAGCCTCTCCTCGCTAATCGGTAGTGGAGTACAACCAATTTTCCTTGAAAGCAGTGTGAAATTCAAAACAGATCATCTTTTACTGTACTGTTGTTTTATTCTAAAAGGACGAGAGATTTTCAAAAACAGTAGACATCAAAAAACCAAAATTATTATGAGACAGTTGAACAAAGCGGTTTTACTTGCACCAGACGGATCGAACTGAAATTCTAGATAATCAATAATGAACTGTAGTTGTGTATTTTAGGCAAGTTTTGTATTTACACATTCTATGGTTTAGATATTTTTGCGATAACTACATTGGAGAAGAGCATAAGGGAAACAGCTAGAAAATGACGACAATCTAGAGGACCTCATCACTCTTAGTCAAAAAGTTTTATGTGATGTAGTGAGCTTTAGATAGACTTACCCATTCATCAAATTGAATGTTAAAAGCAGTTGTGTCTTCATTACCAACAGAACAGTCTCTTGATGAATATGGACTGCAAACGCAGTACCCACTGTTTTGGTATTGTTCACAATTCCATTCACATTTTGGACAGATGGAAGCGAGATCAAGAATCTCACGAGTATGGATTTGTAACGCGTTAGAATACATTTTGAACTCTCCCCATGAAATCCTAAGCATGTATTTAAACACATATTGTTATTTCATCATACAAACGATTGCATCAATCATCTTTTTTTGCATTCGCCTAATTTTTTTTCTTTTTCTCTTTCATCAGTACATTCAACGGCCGATTTACTCAATCGACTGACAAAATGACGCAATTCAGCAAAGAGTCTGAGTATTTTAGACAAATCATTCTTATGTCAGTTATTTCACATACAAATTTTATTTTTTCCTATAGATATTAGGAATAATCAAAAACACGTTCTCAAAACAAAATGGAAAAGAGAAAAGTCTTTAAATCAAGCAAAACTATGAAAAGTACTTGTACTATAACGATCATTCCCTATGCAAAACTTTATTGCTCTATTTAGCCAAATTCTCTGTTAACTAGTTCGACAGCTGCGAATAGTTTCTGACTACACTAATGGAAGATCAATATTATTTGTCTTGGCATTATTCATAAACCAACGTTCTACAAGTTTGGTTGGATCGTTATAAATTACATGTCCACCAGGATTTGAAAGTACAACATATTTATCTTTTGCAACGTAATAAACATCAGGATAACTGGATACAATATCGAATTCAGCGTGAAAACCACCGTATCCTAATGAAGAAGGAAACGTATATGAACCCAATACTTCATCCTTGTAAATCTTTTGTAAAGAATTAATGATCTTATTTAAATGTTGCCAGTCGTCGGATGTTATTGACCATTTTGGATTTGGTCTGCCTGAGTAAACGTACATTTTTGCAGTTGGTGACATTACACTGAAATAACCCTTACATAATAAAAGTACCATAAAAAACTGTAAGCTCGAAAACATCGTAATTTTTTTCACCTCGATCTTTTCGTATATGTCAAAGTAACAAAAAAAATGCCATGCACAGGTGAAGAATGGTTAAATATTAGATTTATTTCTATTTCTGTATCTCTTCATCTATGACTCATTTTAAGAAAGACTACAACTCCTAGTATCAGAACACATGGTAAATATTTGACAAAAAAGTATATTTTTCACTTATTTGTGCCTGACAATTTGTATTTAACTATGTTATGACCGATCATAAATTTCTCCAAAAGAACATTATTGAAATGGAGACAGAATATGTTATCATAACGACATAAGCATTATCGTCAAACGACAAGATGAATAATATTCGATAATAACTTCTTTGCTTGTAGTAAATTTTATATCAATGGAAACGTTGTTTTTTTTTTATTTCACCCTTCTGGTCGAGTACATCCTAAATTCATTGTATTAGAAACAAAAAACTTGTTGAAAAATATACAAATAATTTTGAATAGGATACTAGATTGTGTCTGACTGAATTGACTATACAAATATTATATTATCTTTATTATCCTATTACTTTTAGTAGAAATCCTATTGTTTCGAATGCTTCTAAATAATAGTAACCATCTGTCAGCTAAATAATGGTAAAGTACAAAACTGCTCTTACTTCTTCAAATATTAAATCGTCTTCAAATTCTCCTCATCTGGTAGGAAATAACCTTTTAGATAAGATTTTTGAACATCAAAACGATTGTCAGATGTTAGCTAATAAACTAACCATGCAAACGAACATTATTGTTATACAATATCATTGTTCATTATCATAGTTTTGTATTATTTATACGGTTTCTAATTTATCACTTTTTTTGTCTTGTTTTTTTCCCTGCATGAGTTAGAAAAGAAAATTTAGTGTTAGAAACATTCGGCGATTTTATCAGAGTACAAATTTTTTAGTTTGATTGAAAGATATCACCAGAAAAGTAATAACGCTGTGCAATAAACTCTCTAGGAGCATAGTAGATGCATTGTCTGCACACTAGTTTAGATGCAGATTTAATGACGCCATTGATCACAAAATATTCACACGGCATATCTAGTATGCACACTATTTCTCTGTGTCTTGATATTTTTTTCTTTCGTCGAGTATTCCATGTGATAATGATTGAAGGCATGTTTGCACTTTTTCTAATAAATATTCCGCTAATTGCGTTGTTTCTTCTAATTTTTTTGTTGCCAAATGATTCTCGGCTTCTAAAAGTTCTAATTGTTGTTGTTGTAACGATGGTATGGTGGTAGTCGTTATTGTTGTTGAAGAAGGCACAGAGGGTAAAGAGTCAATGAGTGCAATTAATTCTGTTGCTGTTCGAGTTATTAATGTTGAAAACAAAGGGAAATAATTAGATTCCGATTGCAGTTGATGGTGTCTGAATTAGTTCACTGAGTTTAAACGATATTGAGCTCAAAATTGTATGGTAAGGCGGGAAGGATCAAAATGAGATATTTTTAAGCTAATTACCTCTAGAGCCTGATTAACAACGATTCGATAATTGAAACTTCGAGCTTTCTTTTAATGCAATATCTCTTTTTAGTTCATGTTGATCTAGAAGATACTACAATTTAAATAGTTAGTATCAATCCAAATTTGGGGACTATAGATTGTTACACACGACTTCTTCTACATAAGAATATGATACTGGAATTGTATCGTGATAGAGAAATTTTTTTAAAAACCGATCCACAGTAATAATTAAAACGATTGATGTGCATCTATCTATATCTATCTATATCTATATCTATATCTATATATATATATAAAGAAGAAAGTTTGTTTGTATGTTTGTTTGTTCTCTATGCATTCAGTCCCTGTAAGAGCTAAAGCAGCCAAAATTTGCATGGCACACCCTTGGGTCCAGGGGAAGGTCAAGAGGAGGTCGGCGAGACCGAAGGAGGAGGGGAGAGTTCCCACCCAGTTTTGAAAAAATGGTTGAAAGATTTTCGGATTTTTATGTTCTCCGATTTCTGAGGTACTTGCATCTTGCTTTTATATCTTCGCACTGCCCTTGGTCAAGGGCTACTTTTCAATATAAAACTTTTATCTCTGG